ATTCTTTTGTCTAACGCCGGGTTACAGCAGCGTTCACTTTGCAAAGCTCGCCTTGAACCTGTCTCTGACACGTGTGGCCCCCAAACTACAGATTTTTTTGATGTTCGGATTTCCCTTTGCAGAAATGCGTAGGCAGAGGCACAGCGGTGCTTTAAGCTCAAATTCTAATGTGCTCACAATGACAGTGCTAGCATGCTGATGTTGAGCTGATAATGTTCACCATCTTAGCGTTTAGTGTGTGAGCAGGCGAGCATTTGCTCTGCACCAAACATTACCACAGCGGAGACTGATTGTGTTATTAAAATGATGGATTTTGACAATAAACCAAAGTATTAGAACTCACGGTGCCAAGATAGTTATGTTCTGGAAAAAAAAAATCAGGAAATCAACAGATTTGGGAACATGAATATCTGTACCAGCAGTTCTTGAGACATTTCATTTTGTAATAATCCTAATTTGTAATAATATTTTGTATTAATCTGGCATCCAAACACTAAAGCCACAGTATAGCCACAGTTAAAAAACAACACCAACACAACCCCAAAATAAACAAAGTGGAAATTCAGATGTAAACTAACCACCTTTAGCTGTCAGCAGGGGCAATTCTAGGATCAAACCTTTTCCTTCCTTTCCTCCTTTTTACCTTTGCAAACCTAAATTCAACTGCAGTCTAATAAGACACTACTTATTGTACTGTCTAAGAATGACTCAGAATGAATAATCACAGTTCTTATACTGGTTTTGGGGTGGGCACTTCAGTTATAAAACCTGAGTCAAAGGCTCAATTATGTTGACCATAATTTTCCAGAGTTAAAGAACAATTTGTAGCAAAGCAGATAATAGCTTTTGTCAGTTTCTTAACCACACAAAGCTAGTCCATTGTACTTTAAGCAATTTTAAAAAGTCTTAGTGCCACTTTATATATCTGGACATTAGTAATAGAGTTGCTTTTAGCTGTAACCTGTGCTGTGCTATGATGAAATTCAGATGTGCTTAGGCACCCCCCCCAAAAAAAAGGGTCCAAACTCACCAGTGGGTGCCAATAGGTTTGGCCACTAAAGTCATGTCCAGTCCAGTTTTGCATGCTTAAGCAGCTTCACACTCAACTGGGAACCCTCCACGCGAATGTCAGCAAGAATAATTAAAACAGTGAATTTTGTTGCATCAGTGTGAATTTTAAAGAGGTGAGATGACCCCCCCCCCCCAAAAAAAACGACATGTTTTTGTACCCTATTGGGACCCCTTGACTTTTTTGAGGGGGGGGGGTACATTGCTTTACTGTGACTTATCATCAGTTCTCCTTATTCTGGAGACACATCACTTTAAAGGTGGTTCAGTCTTCTCAGATTCCCCCAAAGTGTCTAGTGTTGAAGGTTTTTTCTGAGGCGTGGGCGTGTGTGTGTGTGTGTGTTGGTTGGGGGGGGCTGTGTAATCAAGCCCATATTTCTGCTGTTTCTGACACCGCATTTATTCGCTGATCTCACTTGCATCATTGTTTCTAAAGCCAGCATCTCTCTCCGTCCCCAGTGGTGCTGCCGATGCTGCTGCCACACATCCCCCGTACAGTACATCGTGTTGTGGTCCTTGCATGTGTGCTGGGGATCACATTATCTCGCATTACAGGGAAATGAACAAAAAAACGGGCCCTCCCACTCTGCTTCTTTTTTCTTCTTCTTCTCTTTTTCTTTTTTCTTTTTTTGCTCTTTTTACACCACCACCCCTCTCAGCACGTCCCGCCACTCCCCCTCCCCCTGTCCTCGGTAAAAATAAAAATAAAAAAGCAGCAGGTGTTATTTCCGTATAACCTGAAGATTTAGGTGGTAATTAGCATTACCTCTCAGCCCGGGAGAGTTATATTTATGCTTGCTGGTGACGGCAGGGGACGCGAGTCGAGTGTGCTTCTGGGCACCCGACGAGAGAAGAAATCACGCCTCAAAAACACGTGGGAGAGATTACTCAAATATTCCTCCTTTGTACCCTCTTTAACCCTCTAGCGGCTGCACGGTTGTCTCTCCCCGTTAAGCAATAAGCTGCAGCCCATTAGTAATTTCTTTTTTCTTGCAGGATGTCAGGCACACCATAAATACACATCTACATGCACACAGGTTTCACTGTAGCTAAGGGCTTTGACCTTGTGTTATGCTGCCCTTATTAAGTAGCTGTTGCAAATGTCCCGAAAGCTCCAACAACACAACGCAATGCACGCTGGCAAATCCATGCATATGACAAAGTAGATGTGCTTACAACAGGTTCACAATTGATGGTTCAAATGGTGCACTGGTAGAAATGCAGGAATGGGCTAAAGATTCTCCTAGGAGGCAATTAACTGCACAGATATTACATAATGACAGCCCACACTTCTCACCAGCATCCCCGGTCCATGCCAAAGGATGAGATGGGGCTTGTTGAGAAGAATTACGTTAACGAGGAGGTTGGGGGGTGGCGGGAGGGTACACCCCCCTCTCTCATTCCCTAACACCACCACCTTTTCGTGCCAGTCACCTCAAAAGGAAGCAGCGGGTCAGAAATGAAACACCTTGAAACTGTCACAGGACGCTCTCTCCCTCCGCACAGAGGGGCACAATTCTTGACGGGATCTTACCTTTGCTATTGTCCTCTTCCCTGTTCAGATACATGGCTGTTACTTCACTCCGAGGCAAACGCGATCGCAGGTATTTGTTTGCGTACTCCTCCGGCGCGTACCGTGAGCTCCGCTGATGTGATTTCGTAGTAGTAGCTGTTTATTGTTTTTGTTGCTCTCCTCAACAGCTTCTCCTCTCTCCTCCTAGTGGATAGGTAGGCTAACCAGTTTGAGACTCTCACTATCTCCCTCCCTCCCTCTCTTCCTCTCCCTGCCTCCTTCTCTCTCTCTCTCTCTCTCTCTCTCTCTCTCTCCCTCTCTAATAACCACTGTGCGCTGTGGCTCAGAGGACAAAATGGGGAAAGTGACTTTTGCAGCAGTGTTAAGAAGTCTGCCACGTGTGATTTTTTTTATAATTTCGCTTGCTTTGCATATGTTTATCATATTTAAAAATGTGCCTGTGCGCGTAAAGGGGAGTGCAGTCACAGCCCACCGATGGAGACTTATTTAGGCAGGGCTTGTAACAGGTTAATTTGGAAATCTCTTTGGTTTAAACAGCTTTTAACTGTGTATATGTACCAAATTACAAGCAAAATCCTGCGTTCATTTCAGTCTTTAGCTTCTCTTTTAATCAGAAGATTAATGCGTTAAAAATGTAAATGCCCAGTGATTCTTTTATTAGAATGGCCATAGGTTGTGCATGTAAAATGCAGGTGAAATGATTAGCTGACAACTAAATCTTCATTTAAGCCATTTATCAAGCAAAACTGCCTCCTTCTCCAGTAGAGTTCAAGCTTTTGTTCGTTGATGCCAACATTAACTGATTTGATCCACTCAGGAAAAAGTTCATGCCCAAAATGCTGACTTTAAGTAATCTGATCACATGTTAATTTTCTATGTAATTTGTTTACATGAGTACATGTGACTTGAAAAAAAAAAGTTATAAGTAAATATTTAATCAACAGTGATGCGAATCGTTACTAAATAACTATTTAAATATCCAAACAAATGTTTAATATTAAAAGTGCATTTCTTAAAAATGATATGATAATAGTGGAGTGGAATCACCAGTCTTTAATTAATTGTCTTTAATTAATAAAGACAAACCAATGGCACCGCTCATGTACTCGGCACACTGTCTGAATGACACATTTTAATGGATCAATTTGTAAAACCCAGTGCTTCACTACCACCTAACACTGATATGATGCGAGAAAAGTTGGAAACCCATCTGGCCCTGTCACTTCACCCCACCTGCCTCATATCCATATCCCCGCGTTGTATAGTATTTCATGCAAGAGGGTATCCTGCATGAGTTTGCCGACCGCATCATTAGGCCCCGGGCAGACTGAAGGCTTTCTTGGAGTCATTGGGTGCTTCCCCTGTCACTTTTTGATGCAAGGTGATGTGACGACTATCCCTATATTAGATGCAGAAATGAGATGTCGATTATTTTACCACTCGGTATTCAGCCTGCCTTACATCACCCATTGGCAGCCCAGGAAGTGGTGAAGGAACAGTTTGTCCATGACCTTGACTTAGTTCTAGAAAAAGCCAGTTAGAAAGCAAATTAAAACATTTTCAATTATTTTTTTCCCTTTCTTTGAGCAAATTTCCAATTTGTGCTGGAACTTCCTGTCGCATGAAGCTAGAGCATTATAAAATAAATGGGATAAGTCATGACAGTTATTAAAACTAAACCATAGAGCCCACATCAAAACATTTGCCACTCAGTAGATGTTGTAAAAAAAAATAGAAGTAGTTCAATTAATCCATGGCATTAAATCTGAAAACAAATTATCATTAAAATGGACACTGGTCACCAATTCCCTCTGCTGCGAAATTCTGACAGCGTCTCCTGCGGTATGTTATTGTACTCCACAGCCTATCAGAGACTCTCAGATCGCCTGAGTAATAAATGTGAATGTTACCCACACAAGTCTGCAAAATAGAAAGCTAATATTCTATTCCGTCACGTGGCCCTCTGATATCACAGATTAGAAATTCAATAGGATATGAGAAGAGCTGTACTGTAGATGCAAATGCTGTGTGCATTTGCAATACCTCAACTAACTGTTTGCCTGCGTTTTGTCAATAGAGCTGCGAAGGTCATTTGCTCAGAGCGTCCTGCAGTGATTTCCATTTGATTATATTTTGTTTTCCACTGCGCTTCGTGCTATTTGTTCACGACCTGAGAATCTTTTTGCCATTTGTTAGGAGAATTCTCCACAGGCTAATTTGACCACAGTCTATTCGCACCCCCTGCCCCACGCCGCAGCCACCACCCCCCGCCCCTGTGCTCCCAGCAGCATTGTGCCTGTCACTGATGCATCTGTCTCCACTGGTATCTATAAATACCCCCTTCTCTCCCCTTCAAAAACCTGATTCCCATTGATTTAGTGACCTATATACACATCACCGTCATCCCCTCCCTTCCTCCGGCTCTCTGCTCCTTCTGTAGATGGTCCTCTGCTGTCTCCACCTCTGATTTCCTCTTTCCTTCATCATCCTTTCCCATTAAGCCCAACTTAGACCACCTCTTCCTCCACCTTCTCCCATCCTCTTGTTAGAAAGCAGGAAAGGCTAATAATAGTTCACGGTGGAAAGCTTTAGTCATGACACATGAAAAGGACTCGAGTGAGGAAAAGAACAGCAGCTGGTGCTTATTTCTGTATTTCAAAGTGTTGTCATTGTGGTAAAATGAGCCTTCAGCTAATCTGCTGTGCGTGTAAACACTGGAGTGGATAGGAAAGGAGTCTCTCAGAGAGGAACAGCTTTCAATGTGAAATCTAACTCTGCCTAAATAAGATCAAAGACAAAGACATACAGAAAAAGAGAGAGCGGGGTGTGTGTGGTGTGCATGCAGGGCTGTATGAAAGTGCTATGATGTAATAATGCTGCAGGCTGCTGCAAAATAGCACCCAGAGAACTAATGCCATGAACAAAATGTTAAATTCATTGCAAACAGCAAGGGATTAATAATGAATATGTTCTGCTGACACAAGCAGGAATCCTAAACCCCAAACATTAGGCTAAATTGCACAAGAAAATGCACTTATTCCTATCATGCAAGTTCTAAACACATAGACCTTATTCAGCGAGTGCAACCACAAAGAGCTCAGGTAAAAGAGGCTCAGCTGCCTATAAGGTCTGCCACAGCTGTAAGAGACTAACAAAAGAAAGCTGAAACAGTGAGTGAGATGGGAGCGCGTGATCTTCTACCACACCACCCCAGCTTAGCATACACCTGTAGTATAAGGCGCTGTTCTGCTCTCTTCCCACTCCCACTAGAGGACCACAGCTCTACTGCGACCCCACACTGACACCTGGTGGCTTCATCGGGCAAAAACCATAACAGCAGTCACAGCTGCACCCGTGCCCCGAGGAGCCACAATGTCATCCTTGTAGTCTTCAAAACATAGCCCTACTGTTTAGTCTTCACAGCACTATTACACGTGAAAAAAAAACACGCTGTGTCAGTTCTTCTGTGTTCTCTCGGACGACCGCTGGACCACAATAATGAGAGTTGGAAAAAGTGTGACACTCAGCACACAGACAACCACAACAGGAGATTTCAGGACAGTGAGTTTATTTAACAGCGAATTGTGACAGGGAACACAATTTATTTATTTTCCATTGCATTGTAAACCATGTCTAAGACAACCGTGTCATTCACCACATATTCATAAACACCCTCTATGTCATAGAGAGACTTTGTAGGTGGACAGCGGGGGTGGGGGGTCCTCGATTTCTAAAGTGCTATAATGCACAATTCCTCTTGGAGGAAGAGAACAGAGGCCGTGAAATGAGCTCAGACCCCCCAAAAGGCCTCCAAGGTCCCCCCAGCTGCATTATTCATACACTGTGTTTCCTGTGACTGACAGGTGGTGTTCAGCGTTTACTTTTTTCCTACTGAGTGTCTGTGTGTGTGTGTGGCTTTACTTATTGCATATCAGTGAGCTGGTTCGTGAAATTTCTCGGTGAATGTGTAAAGCACAAATCTTTAGATTAAAACGTAATAAACTCTTCACTATATTCATAATACATCTCACCTACATTACATTCTTATATTAGATTCGTTTAGAATATGTACGAGATATACATTTGTGGATAACTGGTGACGGCTGACGTAGTGAACACCATCACGTTGGGTCTCTTATAACGACCTGTTGTCTCAGCCCTATGGATCCAGTTTTACAGACATACATAAGCTAGCATGTTCATTTCATTCAAGACTTCTGCACAGAAATAAATCAAGACTTTTAAATCACGTCTGCAAAAGCAGCAGATGGATTTCCAAGATTTCGAGTATCCAAAGCGGGTCTCTTGTGCCTAATGATCCTTTGTGCTTTCTTTGATTGTATACACTCCGGGTCGTACATTTGGTGTTTTAAAAGCTCCTCTGTGTTAGCCCGCACCCTGGCGACAGATGCTGGACAGATTGGATGGCAGAGGAGGGCAACAGATAGAAAGAACGGGAGGGGGGAGGGCACTGGACCGACAATCAAGAGAATCAAGAGAAAAATACCGCGGTGTCACACTAACAACTACACATCAACTACACCACTACACCGTCAGACACGCACGCACGCACATACACACAAAAAACCTAATGCACAAGGTCAGTTTAAATTCACAGCAGGGTCTAAAGAAAATTGACTTGCGCAGTGTGTTCAAAGTTCGGGCAAAAAAACAGATGAGAACGATCCGAGAGCAACGAGGGAGGGGTGGGCTTTTAAAGGAAATCTGGACGAGACAAATGTAGGCATTGTGATGACAATAACAGCAAATACGAAATGGACTTGGAATGTGGAAAAGAAAAACAAAAAGAAAAATTACAGCGGTACTTTATGAAGCCAAGCTCACGTGAGCAGACGGGCCATCTTATTATCTGCCGACATGGCTGGAGGTGCCAGATGATGTCCCTCACTGACCTATGGCTTTCAGTTAAGACATTGATAACGCTGAGATTAGCTCGAAGTGATTCAGTCAGTGTGGCCTTGGTCGTTAGTGCAGCCACTGTCATATTGCAGCCACCTCATGAAAGAAGCACCATTCAAAACAGACAGATTTTCTTTACCGTCCGATGCCAGCAGGTCTCTGTCGGCTTTCACATTTAATTTTTGGAACTCTTTAAGCATTTCTGCGAGTCGTTAACTTAAAACAAAAGACACTTCCCTCTATCGCCGATGCTTCATTTGGTCCTAGCTGATGAAACAGGCTGACCCACACTTAAACAATAGCAATAGGCAATAGGCAGAAATGCCTCCCCCCCCCCCTCCAAAAAGAAAAAAAAGAAAGAAAAAAAAGAAAACGACACTAATGTTCCCCACTGCAAACATTTAAGAAAAAAATCTCATTAAAATGTTGCATTTAAGTTCATATGATGTGTCCGGCGTTAATATTCCTTCATTCGATATGTCCACATCATTATAAAACATAAAAATCACCACAACATGAATTGACAGGGGAGCTGGAGAGGTAGGTGTGCAAAAAAGCCATCATTTACAAAACAAACAATAAATCCTAAAACGTCAAGTTCATATCATCTGCATGTTTACAATATAGTTAAGGTGGACACTTTGACACAGGAAAAGAAAAACAACACACAAATACATAGTGCTATACTGCCCACAGAAAGGAATATCGATAAATAAAGCTCACTCCCACAAATTAAATACACTGAAAAGTTGCATCGTGTATCTACAGTGCAACAGTGCAGTTGACTAGCTGCTTGAACGGTGGGAACAAGGAGGGAATGTGATTGGAATAATACACTTCAAAGTCACCTTGATCTCCGGTGAGATAAACCAATGGCAGCGCTTCAGTGTCGTGATGCATAAACGAGATACAACAGGGCTGCTTTCCCTCGCAGCTTAAAGCAAACAAAACCCTCTAAAGCAAATAAACAGATGTTTGGTTAAAAAAAAAATCATCGACTGCACTGAGAACGCATTAGTGTGATTTTTTGATATCCAAAGGATTTTTAGCTCTTTGGGTCCTGCCATTGAATTCAAGTTTGGATAAAGAATTCAAACTGAATATGAACTCATCTGTAAACAAAAATAATTTGGTCTGTATCTGATGTGAGGATGAAATGCTCTGGACTTGCTGGCTCCACAATGGATGACTGTATTCATAAATCTCAGGAGGTGAGGTCTGACCGTTTGTTAGCATCAATAATTACTAATAATCTGGCTTTCCATTAGAATTACTTTCAGCTCATTTAGTGTTCACAGCAATGCTGTCCGTCTGAATCCACCGTGCATCACGCGTGGCAGAAAGCTGCTTGCTGCACTTTAGGTCGCAATCCAATCAGTGATGTCACAGCAGGTGTTTTCGGTCGCCTGACAAAGGCTAACTAAACCCCCGCTGTGACATCAGTGATTGGGGTGTGGGCAGGAGTGCGATACGCTTGACCCATAAAAAGGCGTGAGGGCGCAGCTGTTTTGTGAGTCCGTCAAAGTTCAAACAAAGTTTACGCATGTAGTTTGTAGTTGAGCACCGATTCTCACACTGGTGCTTCAGTCCAGTGTGCATCCACGAAACAAAGCTATAGTCGTAGTGGAGGGGGGGCAACAGTTGAACCATTGTGGTAGTGCAACGCATCAGATGGAACCTGATCTACTTAAAAAGCCATGGCAATCAAAGTGTGCTCAGAGCTGAATGGCTGGGTTCATTACAACCACTTACAGGAAGGGATGTGGCTCCTATGGAAAGATCATAGCGATTGTGCTGGTATCACATCAACAAGTTGCCTCGGTCTTTGTCTGAAACAGAGGCCTGTGTTACTGTAACTCGTTGTGTGTTACCTTTTAAGACATAAGGTTAAGGGAAGGTTGTGTTTTTGATTTGTTTTTTTTGTTTTACAGGACTAATATTCTTCTACTTGCCTAAGTAAGGAATGTGCATTTATTTTTAATCTGATCATCATCATTTAGAATTTATAGTTTCAAACCAACTGGTAAGATTTCATCTGTCACTTAAAGACTAAAATTTGGTACTGTAGGGTGGCAGAACTGCAGCAACCGAGGGCAGTACATCTGCTTTAAAACTTTAACAATCATATTCAAAAAGATAAGTACAATGTTGTAATTATAAAGTGATATTCTTTTTAAAACTTAAAACAAGCTGATATTTGTGGCTTTATTTCCAGAGAGCTGGCTAAACCTGCCAACTGGATTTTTTTTTGTGCCGCCATAGGCAGCTTGGCAAACTAAGGCTCCCTCCTGAATGATTTGAACACATTCAACACAAAAAATTGAAAACAATCTGTACTAATGGTCACGCTCGGACCCATCACAAACTTCTCTCGGTATGGGATGAATCTTCGCGAAGTTGGTGTAATGCATTATGGGAGGGAAAGGCAGAAAGGAGGTGCTCCTTATTTGTCTTTTTTAGGCAAGAAGCTGAGGATAAATTCACCCACGCCCAGGAAGTAGACCACCTGGGCGATGCCAAACAGAGGAGCGATAACCAAGGCTCGACAGTAGGCTCCCTTCAGGAAGGCTGATGGAC